AAAAATTGAATGAGATGCAAATGTGGTATGACTTACTTGAAAACTCACTATAATGATTTTTATAAAGTTCAATTATATGTTTTCCTTAGAGTTTAATGTTGTGATATGTTAGTGGATTTCAATGATTTTTGTGTTGAGTGGAGTTCAACGACTTGATAAGTGAAAAGTTCAATGTAGTAGTGTCTTGTGGAGTTATATGATGTGATTGCAAAGTTTAATGAATGTGTAGATAAGGAGTTCAATGACATAGAGTAATGTAAAATTTCATGATCTGATTGTGTGTGTTAATGTGATGTTGATGTATGAGATGAGTACAATGATGATGTGATACATGCTTGAACATTAAGTAATTGCATGCCTTGAATTGTTGCATTGTATTGCATTGCATGATCTTGAGAGGTGGAAGTTTACCTAGGAAGAGGAGTAAAGAACTATATCAACGTGGGAAGGCTTCCATCTGAGCTCGATGGTTTTCCTGAGTTTATCATATTTATTGTCTTACTTGTTCAATGAGGAATTATCCCACTGATTCAACGAGAGATTTGAACCTAGCTAGTTATCCACTTGTTTAACGAGGAAGCTAGTCTAGAGAGAATGACACTCTATAGTGTGAGAAATAGAGGGAAACCATGACCCACAAGTGAGCTGGGCAACCTCTTATGTGTGTTTTGGTTAAGATAGTCTCAGTTTATAAATGATCCCAATGTGTTATAGCCTATGGTTTCGTGTCATAGGAAATAAGGAAGATATAAGGGAGGTATGATCATGCATATAGTGATAAAAGGACACATAGTTATCTATATCATAACCCTATTGATGAAAATCATGAGTTTAACTATATCTATGTGAAAATATGTTAATAAGTCATTATCTTATGATTACATGCTAATATGAATGAGAATTGTGACTTAGTGTTTCTTGATCATGCTAAATGAATTGAGAACAATATCCTTGCCACTTGCATTTAAATTATTAACATATATTAATATAAGTTAGATGGACCTTATTACTGAGTGGGTGTACTCACCCCATTATTTTCAATATTATAAGAACTAATTTAAGGGGACAAGACAAAGGAAAACAACTTGAGGCGTAGAATTAATATCTTATTAGTAGGCCTCCTTTTCTTTTTGAAGTATTAATGTGTATATTCTTGCATGATATTGCCAACTAGAGATAATTCATATTGTGATTTATGTGTATTTGTCATTATGTAGTGTATTTTGAGCCCTAGGGTGTATATCTATTGATTACAAGACCTAAAGCAGGCACAAAATACTAGTACAAGTAAGAATTGTGAATGATACTTGAATTATGATGATTAATTAATGAATTTGTGATTGGATCTCCCCCTATTATTTTTTAGATTAGAGGGTTGAATGGTTTCATATGTGTTGATAGTGATGTGGTATGTTGGACGGGTCTATTTTGATTCATTGATTGTGGTCTAGGTGGTATTTGTAGTTGTTGGCTTTTGTTATGAATTTTGGACACTCAAGTATTGTGTAACTAGTAAAAAAGAGTGAATTTTGAAATGAGTATCTAACTTTTAATTGAAAGATAATTTAATTGTGAATCCAAAGCCATTAGCTAGAGTTAGGAGAAATCTCTTTGTAGACATTTAGATTGCCTTAATCGGACATCAGACAAAAAAATGGGGTTGGTCGAAAGTTTTCCTAGTTGTTGTCAAATAATAGCAAAGTCTATCGTCAAAATCATGCAATATGCCACAACGTATGGCACAGAGGCTTACAAGCCATGGTACAGGCCTCTATTTCTGCACTGTTTCGCTATTTTCAATTTTTAAGCAAATGCATTGATTCTTTTAAGTTTTTATGCTTCCGCATATTAATTGAATTCTGATTTTTTACTTGTAAAGATCTTTTGGTATTATTTTAAATATTGAAAACTTTAAATCCCATTTGTGAAATTTGAATAATTTGGTAATTACTATGATGTTTGGAACTTAGGGAGAATTAGTAAGGGTAATCTTATTTGTCTTACCTCGAGATTTTATATCGCTATCACATGTAAAGTTGTTTGATGATGAGGGAAGGAGGAGACCCTACCAAAGCTTGTCTTTTCACGGTTGTTTGCAGCGACTCACTCACAATAGGGAAACCCTAGGAGAGGAAAGGGGAAGAACTTCAAGAAAAGTTATTCTTCAAAACCAAATAAAGATGTATCATTGACTATTGATTTGTGTGTATGTAACGATAATGTCAAAACATTGATTTGTGCTTGACTTATACTTTTCTCAACTGTATATAGAACATGTAATTAATTAATTAATTAAACTCAATAAATAAGACATTTCATGGTAAATCAAATATCAGTTGGCATAATTAAATGACAAAGTGGGTTTACTTTATTATTTGTCTGTAAAGTAATTTTAATTTTACTGGCCTTATTTTCGATTATCAAAATAAAACCTTTTGTAACGTACGCATGTCGCGTTGTGCGCGTTTTGTAAACTATAAACATTATTCTAATATGAGAATTTTTTATTTTCAATAGTTCATTATTATGATGCATAAACAATTATGATATTCAATGTAAAAGAGCGTCGATCTATATACATGATTTCATATACTGTGCTTCTTAACGAAAACGAGGGATATATGATTTAATAGGTGATTTAATAGGATGTTTTGTCATCAAATGCCTAATTCGCACTGCTAACAATACATATAATTTTAGTCATAATTAGCTAGATTAGTTACTAATTGACTACGTTGACTATCTTTATTTAACATGGGAATAACATCTAAGACAAAATAGTAAACAAAAAGTAAGATCATTAGATTTTCAAAACTCTCGCGTCAAAGAAAAATATATACCACAAATTTTTGGCGAAACATTTCTATAATTCCACCCAGTTTCAATCAAGTTATTTAATTTTATTTTAAATTTTTAATTTCGTTTCTGAATTGCCACAGTATTTTAATTTTTTTAATATTTGTGGTAAATAATTCATGTAATATTTTATTTAATTTCAACTTAATTCTTCAACTTGATCTTGTTTCACATTTTTTAACACATCTCCTTCTAGTAAAGATAATCTTATTTGAAACACTATCAAGAATTAATTATATATATGGTCAGTGGAAAATCCTGTCAATCAATTCTATTGTATTATCATTGACCTTTACATTAATTCTGAAAGCTATTATTCCGATGTGTTCATTCCTCTAGCACTATTAAATCAGGATATGCTCGACAAATTAAAGATCTATGAATAAATTTAAAAATAAATTTTATTTAGATTATAGCGAATTATATTGAAATTGACATCACAGAAAAGGTGAAATTTTATTTTAATTCTTATTTAGCCAGTTAATTTAGTGTGAATTCAAAGTCTTATTTAAAATAACATATAATCAAAAGATAAAAATATAATTAATGGATAAAAGCCCATAACTAGCTAGTACACTTCGTGAACTTGCATACAAGCCATGCCAGTAATAAAAGTAATAACAAACTAACAAAAGAACACACCTTTAATTTATTTTGCAATGTTGATTGGATCAAGCGAAAGTAAACAAAAAATTGATTTTCTTTAAGCATGACCAATCAAATATTGCCAACAAAGTTTAGTTAGTTAATAAGGATTTGACTTATAATTTATTCACAAAATCGATCGTGTGTTTAAATCTCATTGTTAATTTAAAGATCTTTTAACTGTTGGGTCAAGTGAACATGACATTATATTTTAAACTAAAAGGCATTGAGTTTATGAAATTTTTCCGTTTATATACTTTCTTAATTTAATTCTATTTGATAAAAGACTTTTTTTGTATTCCAAGTCAAATCAACTCTTGATAACTCCCAAGGACATATGGGAAAAATAACATGTATGGGGTATATGTGTTTATTTTTTGCAGTTTGCTCCCTCTCTTTTTATGGTTTGTACCCTCTATTTTAATATTTTAAACTTTAAACTTATTTCAATATTACATTTAGAAAAGGCATTCTAAGGCAACATAAGAATGACTTGGGGTGATTGATACTAACTACGCTACTAAGAAAGAGACTGGTATTGAATAAGAGGTTAATTAAAGAAGTCACTTCATCGACAGGAGTGAGAGCTAGACCAAAATGTCTTAAAGTAGAGTAGAAGAAACAAGCACCGAGTGAGCGAGCAAGAAAACCCCTGCACGGGTCTAGCAAGTAAGAAAACTCCTACGTTCCTTGCTTGTTCTCAACGACTTTCGAGCTAGTACACCCCTACTCATCTAAGAAACAAGCACCGGATTGAGCTAACGTGAAAGCCCTAGTCCTAAGGGTGCTAACGCACATCCATTTTCTTGCTCATTGCTTGTTCTTGTGTGTGTCTAACGTGCAACGTGCTATGCTATCCTCATTAGATAAATCTAAAATTCAATTTTTTAACTCAAAGTTTAGTTAATATTAGCCCATAATTTTATCATATCTAAATATCAATATCATTCATTAATCCTTTAAAAAATAGGAGAAAAAAATTAATTTAACAAAACTAGATCTGTGTCATACTTATCTTGAGAATATTAATAAAGAAAAAAGGCAACAAAGAATGAATATTTAGTGAATTTTGAAGAGATAGAAAAGTTTTTTTTATACCAAGGTCTTCACTCCAGCTTCTCAATCTAAGATCCTGGCTTCGCTAGTGTCCCAACAAATATGGAATCAAATAAAATGCTTCAATGTAATTAAATAGGACCAGATAAACGGATCCTTCTTTTCTTATTAGTGAATAGCGATACTAGGAGAGATCGAATATCATATATAGTCCAATTAAAGTGGAGAATTGTGAGAGGGATGGGGGGAGAGAGCGGGGGCGGAGGAAAGTCGATTTCAAAATGACCTCTAATTCTTGTGTGTCTAATCAGTATCAATAATATACTAATAAAATAACCCTCCGAATTGTCAAAGTGTCAACCACATTCCTCTTAGTCGGTTACTCTCTCTCTCTCTCTCTCTCTCTCTCTGTGTGTCCCCCCTGTTCATCTGTGTGTGCGCGCGCGCGCATATATATATATATATAACCACAAGCACTGAATCATTTTCCATTCACTTCAACACTCGATCGTCAAGCAAAAGCGCACACACACATACAGAGAATTCATTGTTGATCAGGTGGCTGTATATTTAGCTAGCTTTTCCTTCTTCTTCTTCCATGGCGAACGATCAATTTCAAGCGAGTACGGGAAACTGGTGGGACTCTTCATCTTCTAGACATGTCCGATTCGAGACCGCTCCTTCCCAGTCATCTTCATCTAACCTCACCACCACCTTCCCCAACTTCACTTGGCCCATGGATCACCTCGACCTCAAGCCTTCCTCTTCCATGGCTCTAGCCCTCTCCTCCCAACCCTTGGATTGGAATATCAATAATCAACCCTCTCATCACCATCTTCTGTAAGTCTTCTTCTTCTTCTCCTTCATCTCTCAGGCGTCTGTGTTTTCATCATTGTAATGATGTGTGTGTGTGTGTGTGTGTAGTAGAGGAGAGAAGGGGGTCTCCGATGGCCGATTCAGATCCATGTTTCAAGATGAGTGGAGATCATCAGAGAAGCTGTTGTTTAATTCTGCAGACTCGTCTTCAACTACCACTGATCAGTACAGTGCTTCTGGGGATAATAGTATGGTCACGACCAGCCAAGGGCTAGCTTGTAGTTTTCAGATGGATAATTCTAATTCCTATTCTGCTACGAATCATTCATTATTAATACAGGGATTATTAGGGCCTGAAGGTTCTTCTTCTTCTTCCTCCTTCGACAATACTCATAATCGCTCCTGCAGCTTGAACTTTCCCTACGGGTCGTCGGCCTTGAGCTCTGATAATGATCCTTCAATGGCTTCTTGGCCCAAGGTTTCTCAGTTTCTTAGGGCTTCGCCGCCGAAACAAACACCACATCACGGCGGCGGTAACAGCCAGTTGCATTTTACAAACAACGCGACCTTCTGGAACGCTTCTGAAGCTCACCACCACCACCATCACGATGCCGCTATTAAAGAAGCTCGACCTTCCTTCTTCCCTTCCTTGCAGCCTCCTATTCAGACGCCCAATTTTGATGCACAATCAAAGGTATAACACCTTTTTTCCACTTCTTTTTTAATTAATTTGATGAGATATATATAGATTTGGTTTTATGTTTCCTTTAACCAAAATATAGGGCATTGATTGCTAAATCATGGTTATCGAAAAATGTTAATTCGAATTGAAACTTTCTTAAATTTTTTTACATATTTTCAACTGTAACTTCATTAAATATTTTATATAAGAGTTTTGATAATAATAATTAAAATTTCAATACATTATTTCTTCAAAAAGAGTCATAAATAAAATAGGAGTATGATTGAAAAAATAATTACAAAAATTATCTAATATCCTGTACTTTAGATCAAATAAGACTTTCAAAAGATGTTTTACATTGTAATCTAAATAGGGTAATGCTTTGTGAAATAAAAGTTTTACTTTATATGATGTGAAGTAATATGTAAGAGCATAATCTCAGTTCTATCACCCTCACATGGGGTGATGAATCTAGAATTTTATTTTTCTATTGCTTTTATAAAAAATAGATTCCTGATATACATGCATAGAGAGAGAGAGAGAGAGACTATCTTCTCCTGTTTCTATGCATAATAGGTGTTTATCATTAATGTAAACACAACATTGATTATATTCGTTAGGGGTGTTTATCATTAATGTAAACACAACATTGATGATATTCATTAGGGTTTATGCACAATGTAGTCTCGAACAACTGATAAAAAAACAGAACACAAACAATTTTCTTTGTCAACCTGAAACTCATGAAAGTCTTGTTAGGTGGGAGAATTTGCTTTTTAACAATAATGTCTATTATGTTTCTACAATTATTATATATTCTAACATGTAAGATCTCTCTGTTTTCTTAATTAAAAAATACGCTCAGTTGATTTTGCACAAAGCTTGTGGAGATCATACATATCTTTATAAGAAAAATAATAATGATAAGAAAGAAAAAGAGAGTGTGAGTTTTGATTATTTGTTTGAATGATGGGATTGCAGAATATTTGTGGCGGAAGAGAAACGAGTAGTGTGGGGAAGAAAAGTGGAGGTGAGGCGACACCAAAAAGAGCTCGAAACGAAACCTCATCAACTTTGCCGCCTTTTAAGGTATTTAATAGTAATGATAATAATAACAATAATCTTAATCGTAAGGACACCGAAACTTTTAAATTCAATTATTGCTTTAAACTTTCTCAAATTATCATATCTTTCTTCTTCTTTTTTTGGAATTCATACAGTAGCTTCTTCTTCTGTTTTCAGGTGAGAAAAGAGAAGATGGGGGACCGAATTACTGCTCTTCAACAGTTGGTTTCGCCTTTCGGCAAGGTTTACATTTTAATTAATTTCACCTTCTAAATATATATATATATATATATCCCATTAATTAATTGGACCATTAAATTACAAATATACACTATTGAGGAGTTTAATTTGCCATTAAAAAAAAGAGGTTGGGTTTTGTACAGTTTATAATGCTGTGTCATGGACCACTTTGATGATTACATATTTTTGCCAAAAAGTATGTTGAAAATTTTTTAAAAATGACTACTACTGAGTGAATTTATTTAAAACCTTATAATAAATAAATATATGAAATTAACTTTATAATAATGTCTGATTTTTAAGAATATTCTAGCATAATTTTGCTGCTTTTAGAGTCGTCATCAGACATAATTTTCATCTATCTACAACTGTGTGGTTTGAAATTAATGATGGAGATTTCATATATAGGGCTGCTATAGTTTTTAAAAAATCATTAATTATGGATGGGTTGATTCAACTCTTTATTAATCTGTGGTTATGCTTCTGTACGTCATCAGACTGATACAGCCTCAGTGCTCTCCGAAGCCATCGAGTATATCAAATTCCTCCATGACCAAGTCTCTGTGAGTCCTATATATATATATATATATATAAAACCCATGAATATATATAAATCAAAAGATGAACTTGGACTTATTTATTCACATATATTGATTTCCTTCTGTTATATTCTCTGGTAGGGTTTAAGCACCCCATATATGAAAAGTGGAGCTCCATTACAGCACCAACAGGTACGTACTTATTCACATCATTATATATTCAGCAAAAGTGATGATATGATGCTAATCAAGTTTTGTGTTTATAATTATGATGCAGAGTTCTGGAAAATGCAAGGAAAGTGAAGGCCTAAAACAAGACCTGAGAAGCAGAGGGTTATGTTTGGTGCCAGTTTCAAGTACTTTTCCGGTGACTCATGAAACCACTGTTGATTTTTGGATGCCACCTTTTGGAGCTACTTTCAGATGATCTGATGAGTTGAATTCATACACATCACGCATTCACAAATTTATAAAGCTATAGGTAGAATAATATTCAGCTTGTTAGAATATATATATATATATATATAATTAAGTTAAATAATGTATTTGATTGAATCTGGGATTCTAGAAAGAATCATATAGATGAGGTCAGATTGGGAATGATGAGATGATGGGAAGCCACAGAAATTGTCAAGTTGATGATTGTGCGCATGGAAGAGAAGAAAAGAGAGCGTGTTGGAAAATGTGTTGAAAGAGAAAGAAAATGAAATGACTCTCCAAAAAGAGAGGCCATTCTTTACCCATTTGCATGCACGATCATGATCTCATGATGCCACATTGGGACCATTGTCATTCAATTAAACTTGTCATTCTAATTGCACAATCATGCATCTTAATTAGGGGATTATTAGGAAGCTGAGCAGATTAATCAAAGGAAAAATTGTTGTTACATATATCGAGAGAGGAAGATAAAGAAGGTTTAATTGTTATTGTTAGTGCTGTGTGTGTGATGAATTGAAGAAGGAATATTAATGGAAGTGAAGTAATTAATTTTGGATTGGACATCTCACTTTACATTATTTTTCCTAATGTCGTTAATAAATGTAAGTGTGGAAGTCAGAGGGTGGCCCACCTACCAAAACACCGTTCATATTTTTCATATTAATTTGTTATTATAGAAATTAATTAAATTTAATCCATATAATAATATGTTGGAGTCCATTATTGCTTGCTATAACAGTTGAGCTTGATTCTATATATATATTATTAAAAAATCAGATAGAAATATATATATTGTTGTTGCAGATGCTTCCACATGCTTTTGTTTTCTAGTTTATGTACTATAGTACTTTTGTTAATTCATTAGAAATATAAATCATAATAAGAACAACATAAAAGTTAGACAAGGGAGCGTGCTCGAAAAGAATAAGAAAATCACTCGTAATCTTGGAATTTTAAAATTGGTGTGTGTGTCTGTGTGCGTCTGTGTGCCTCTGTTAAAAAACCCTAGCTAACTGCTTTACCTGTTTGTGACTTTAGCTGCTAATTGGCCAGATCTTTGAAAAAAAAAAAAAACAAAAAACTACTGGACCAACCCTGAAGGGGGAAATATATATAAGCTTTATCTACAGTCACTTTCTTCTTTAATTAGCGAAATTTAGGGTATAATTAAGTTACTACCTCTATTGCTTTATAATCATTGCTTTTGAAAATAAAAAGTTATTTATATTTATTTTTTTAAAAAAATCAATATATTAACATTGCTTGTGATATTTTTACTTACTTCAATTAATTAGCAATAGAAATAATGAGGGATATTAAAGAAGAGATGAAATAAATTAAGGTGGTGTTAGAAAATTTTAAAAAAATTGACATATTTATTGACATGTGTGTCAAAGTCTTAAAAGATATATAAAAAGAAATGAAGGGGAGTGGTGAATACTAGAAAAATATAAACACACACACATATGGAGAATCTATTATTAGTCATTGTTGCTAATAATACAAAAATATATTATTATTTTGAAAGAAGTAGTGGCTTGTTACTTTCTGCAGGATTTGTGTTCTCCAAGAAAGTGCGACATTATTTCATTATAAAATTCCTTTTTATCAAATAAATCTTTTTTCCTTTCATTGCTTTTAAAGTCAATTATAAGAGCAACCACCAATCCTAGCTTTGTAGAGAAGTTTTTTTAAATTTTTTAAGCAACAATTTTTTTTTGGAAAATTTATTTATACAGTTATTTAAACTTAAAGATAACAAAGTCAATTGAGTTTGAAATCTTGGCGTCAACTCAACTCGTTTAACCTAAACAAACGTTGATGTGAAAAGCATGAGAGGTCAATTAGAAGAAATATATATTTATACAAGCAAATTATTTAAATATAATCATCATGACCATATATTATAGTATCTAAAATAAAAATACCGTATAATAAAAAATAGTAATATATATGCTGTATATAATATTGTTTGTGAGAGTTTGAGATAAGTACAAGTAGTAATTCCTTTTCTGTTTAAGGTATACATGACGTGGTTGTGAAGAGTAAATGAATATAATATTATTTTTAATTAAAAATAAATAAATGGCAGAAGGTTCCTCGTTTTGATATATTATATAGGGTTTAATTTTTCTCACTTTTGGAAGAGCATCTTCTTTATCCATGACCATGAGCCATCGTTTCTCCTTGAATATGCCACTTTCCTTTTCAAATAATAAAAACAAACTAAAATTATGGGCTTATCTTTCATCTTTTTTAACTGATTAGAAAACTCGTTTTGATTCATTATGTTTTTATATTAATATTAGTTTCTGTCATCTAATGCTAAAACATGCATGATTACCAATCAATGATTGTGAGATTATCATTGGTAGCAGAAAGATATATTATACAATTTTTTTATTAAAAAAAAGGTTAAAAAAAAGAGGAATAGAATCTTCAGATTGTTAATTGGGCCTATAGTTCATATGATAATAGCCGTTGAGATTCCATAATTTCATCCTTTTCCTTCACCTTTAATTTTATGCCACCCAGCACAATCCTCCAGACAGTATTTAATTTTCTTCACTTCAATTTAATATCTCTCAATTAATCATGCTAGGCTCACTTTTACATGTTTAAATCTGAGTTATGTCCATTTTTATTCTAAGCTTTCTGAGATATATACACATATATATATATTCCAGTCCTAGCATAAAATAACTTGTATGTTCATGAATTTCACCCAAAAAAGAGAAGAAAAGAAACTATATCAAAGAAACAGTTGACCAGGACAACATCCAATCATGGCACTGAAATTTTTTACCGTGAGTAAAAGAGTATATTTATATTTTTAAAAATAATATATCAATAAAAAAATATATAACAAATTACATTATTCATAAGTTGTGAAATAAAATGAAATAGTATGGCTCTGTTCAGGCCAGTACCTATTTTTTCTTATAGCACCATCATCAAAGGATTATTGTTAACACAGGAAACATTAAACTAGCTAATACTCCCTCCTAAGTATAGGATTTTGATAATTAATTCATATCAATAAAATAAATTATTTAAGTTAGTTATTTTATGAAAATATGTATTGGTTTTCCTAAAATAATATATCTCTTTTTAATCATGTACGTTAGAAATTATATATATTTATTGATTATACACATTAATATGTGCAATCAACACCTGTAATGGGAGAGATAAATAAGATTGAAATCTTACATTTAGGATAAAAACAAATTCCTAAACTAGCTCATTTATATAGCAGAGGAAGTATGACTTTTTTTCGATTGTTCAATGTATCCACCGCCGATAGCGGTGACTAATCCCTTCATCGCAGGGTCTCCCACAAGGGAGCAAACGGCTGATTATAGAGTGCTCTTCATTAACATGAGTGAGTAATCGAACCCCCAACCATATGCTTAAGGGACGAAGTGAGATAGTCACTATGCCACACTCACATGTTGAGAAAGTATGACTTTGATATCAAAGCTAAGTGTTTCTAGTACTAAAAAAAGTACAATGAATGCATCACCGATCTTTCAAAATTTTAATATCTCACTTTATTATTTAAAAAATCAGTTTCATTACTAATATCATCTTATCCTTGTTAACATAATTAAGCATATGACTTATAATGTACGTAACTGTTAAAATCTTTGTTATTACTGTCATAGTATGTACCTGACAAAGGATAATAAAAGAGGGAACATTTTTATAAGATTGAAGAAAATTATGTTTATCTGCCGGCTTTAATTTAGAAGATTAAAGATTAATTGGAAAAGATTACTTATCACCATACTAATTAATTAATCTTGATTCATTCTCAGAAGAAAGACAGAAGCTAATTAATTAATACTTAATCACCCTTGAGTGCAGAGATTCCGCTCCAAGTTTTTCTGAGCATGCATTCGCATGTGCATGTCAGTATGTGAGACTGTTGATGACGAGGTTTTGAAGAGGACCAAAGTCATTCATTGGAATCCAAAACATGAAAAAGCAAAAATGAGAACTTGCCACTGAAATTCATGGTGAAGAAACGACGATGGAATTAGATACCGCAGAGTCATAAGTACTACAAACTAATGATAATAAGGAGAAAAAGAAACCAGAAGCTTTCTGTGAATCACATGACGACAGTGAAGAAGATGTTGTTCTTTTACAACCAAGGAGAAAAGGAAAATAAAATTACAGCATTAACGACTGAATGTTTCAGAATAGTTTCCTTTGTTTTGACGGGTTCCTACTTATGGCGTCCCCACAGTGGTGTACTAGTTTCAAGAAAATATCACACTGAGCTATGTGTTGCAGAAAAGAAAGTCCAGTGTTTTCCAAGTTTTGAACTACATATTTTGTGCTGAAAGAAAGAGAGATTGGGATGTTCATGATGAGGAACATAGAAAGATAAAGCTAGAAGTGCAGAAATCAACCTACAGGTTAATATGCCCACGATATTTACCATCATTAATTATAAGGAAAACAAAATTATTGATTCTTGTATATTGCTCGCATTTTGCTATTAATTCCTGTATTTTTTTCTGATATTTTTGATCCCTATATTTTTATTTTTATTATTTTATATCCTTCCAAGTTTCTTATACTTTGTTTATGGAAGGACGTAAAATAATAAAAAAAGATACAAGAACTAAAAATATTAAAAAAAAAGTATAGAAATCAATAATAAAATATAAGGAAAGTACAGGGATACTCCTCAGTTTAAAAAATATAAAACATTTTTAACTGAATCTTACCTCCAGTAAAGTAATTATTTATCTTTAAACTAGTTTTATCTTTTCACATTTACACATATTTAGTAAGGTATTTCACTCTAAAATAAATATAAAGTGATTTATTCATAGGGGCATTATTGAAGAAAAAACAATGGTTACACCTTAAAATACTAAATATATCTTGTATTATTTAATATCTAATCTCTCAAAAAATACTTTACATTTTTTAACAGAGGGCATATATCATATAATATGTAAAATTATAATAGAGGTTACTCTGCCTTTATAGTTGTGTTTCATTCACGTGTGATTATTTTTTAAAATTTAAATCAAGCCATATAATCTTGCACAGTAGGACCTTGTGATTATAAAAAAAAAATTAGGTATTTTTTTTCTTTGGTAGTAACATATTTTTTGGCTTTTAAAAACTGTGAATAGTGGAAAGTTACGAAGTTAATTATCTAGGCGTAAAAAGAAAAGAGAAAAAATTGGGCCTGATGATAGCCCAAGTTTGCATTTTCCATGTGGTTAGAGCTTAGCCCAGAACAATAGATATTGCGATCCACGTAAACAGAATTTGAAAATATCATACATTTGTGGCCCCCGCTAAACCATCTTGAACACGAAGTCCACAATTTTCATATCATCATCATCATTTATTTATTTATTTTTGGTGGTTCACGCCATGATCAGAATAGGGTCCCTGATGAGTGTGCAATATATGCACACAAATAATTACAAAGTTTTAATTTTATCTTGTTTATTGGCATCAAAAACTCTTGAAAGGGAATACAATCGAACGGAAAAAGATATTTTCTTAACCTAATGAAGAAAACAAGACGAGAACTTTCTCAGTCAACAAACAGAAACCACCATGGATCACGCATTCAAAAATTAAAACTACATTCAAGGCAATTATTATTGACAAGCACGTAGAAGAAGAATGCAACTTGATACATTCGAGGGCTATAAAAAAAATGAAGAACTTTGGATTCAAGCAATGCCTTTTATCGTTTTTCCTTGATAAATGTCATGTCTGTGTTGGCTTAACATCATCATGCAGATCCCTTGAGCTTCTTGGTGATGGCAGCGATGTACTTTCCCTGGTGGAAGGCTTGCTCCAACTCAAGCTCAGATGGCTGTCTTGAGCCATCACCAGCATAAGTCCCTGCACCATAAGGACTCCCACCTTTCACCTTCTCCATCTCAAACATGCCGGCGCCGAATGTATATCCGATTGGAACAAATAGCATCCCGTGATGAACCAGTTGGGTAATAGCAGTCAGCCTGTTATGGTTTCATCAGTATCTGATATTTCTTGGATAAACCAAGTCAATCAAAATTTGACAAGTTTTTGCGTTTCCATATGACTGGATTTATGCAAGAAATTTTCAACTACACACTCAAATAGAGGTTCTTACGCTGTAGTCTCTTGTCCGCCGCCTTGGGAGCCAGTGCTGTAGAAGATTCCTGCAGGCTTACCTGCAAGCTGTTGTGTTCTCCATAAACCTCCAGTTGCATCTAGAAAAGCTTTGAACTGAGCGGCCATCATTCCGAATCTTGTTGGGAAGCCAAAAACAAAGCCATCAGCCTCAGCAAGTTGACTGGGTGTAATTACTGGTACATCGCTCTTTGGTGGCGCACTCATCTTACCAAGCACCTCGTCCGGCAGAGTCTCGGGTACCTGTTCACAAGTTCTTTCAAGTCAGTTGGGCTACTTTGTTTTCTTAGATCACGTCAAAATTAGCAAGAACACAATTTGACAAAAAGTACAGAAATAAGAAGATTAGCTACATTAGGCTATTGGAAGGCAGCGGGTCCTGCACTCTTAGGAGCCTATTATAGGTTGCTATGAATGAAAATTGAGGACAGAAGCTTATGTTTCTACGAAAATTGAGCCTATTATGAAGTTCATAGGGCAATTTGAGAACTCATTGATCCCTTAACTATATGGCCACAATGAAGGAACTAAGCCAGCATAAATCTTGCAACCAACACAGTGAAGCAGGAATGATGGCATATCAAGTTAAAAAACCAATCGGTCTTAACTTCTATCCGTCCAAGCACAGCCCGGTTTACAAAAGCCTTAGCTCTGCAATTGATGTTATAAGCTAGGATGATGTGCAGTGCATGCATTAACGTCACAAATACTTGCCTGCCATAGTTTGGCCTCAACACCTTCCACAGATGCAGCACCTTTCTTTATTTCTTCTGCTAGTTTCTCCACATGCCCATACATGGAGTAGTACCTGTAAAAGCAATGAAAACATTACATTTTGCACATACAGCTCACAGAAGCCTGCGCAATAATTTACTTTTTAGAGATGAAATGAGAGAGACAATTAAAAATTGTAAAAAGAGAGCAGACCAAAACTGTCACCAATTTCATCTCGAACATTTAGTTGGCACCAACTAATTTATGTCATCTTTATCAGTTGGAAAAAGAAATCATAAAAGCTAATGACATTAAAGCCAATTTACTTACGGATTTGCTTTCGCTCCACATTTTTCCTAATAAAATAGCACCCAGATAGGTTCACAGAGACAAATCGCCATAGGGGCGAGTGGATTGGATAGTGATGCAGACTGTTATCTATTAAAATAGTGAATGAATTTTAGTATAATCTGTCAATTATTATTGATGATAAGGTTACAAGGATTAATGTCAATATTTCCAGCAGTTCTCTTCACATCTATAAGTAAAGAAAAGGAAACCTCAGCAATGTAAGGTCATAGAACTATGCACCAAGTTAGACTGAAGTAAAAAAGAATGCACCCTAGAGAACTTGGCAGAAATATGCTTTTTTTTCCTCTTTGATATTACTATACGTATCTCTGGCCCTTTAGATATTATAAATATACTCATATATATGTGTGCAATGTGCATTATGTATCAATATGACCAATGCAAGAGAAGTGTCACCGTTCACTCATGGAAAGTAGAATGCTGACAGCAATGGACAAAAGTTTTGAGTGACATAAGATATTCAAACAATGATAAGCGTCTTCTACAAATGGCAATGCTAGTTTTTACATCCTATTCAGATGGATAAATTTTTGCAAATAAGAATCTAAGTGTCATTTTTCTGCACCGCAAAGGAAGGACAGTCCTTCATAAATTCAAGCCCTCTACTGGCTACTTACAAATACAAAACAAAATAGGTAAACTTTTTCTAAATCAAGCAATTGGAAACTTTCAGTAACTGAACTTTTTATTGCCATTAATTCTGTTAATAGAGTTGCCAAAGTGGTTCAACATCAAGCCAGTCAGAACGTTAGCGGGGAAAGTGCCAAATGGGTTGCCAACGTGGCCATCACCGTTCAAATTAGGCAGATATTGATCAAGTAGACAATTAAGTTCGCATAATTGACCTAAAAATTCATTCGATACACTTTTTAAAAAATCAGGGCTATTATGATGATAATTAATTAAATTTCAAAGAAAAAATTGACAGCAAAGGCTATCAAATTGAAGCGAAGGAAGAGATGGATGATAAATGTGCTTTTTGTAGGCGATGATTCTGGCGACTACCAAAGAAATGCAGAACAATACAAAAAAAGATAATGTATCAAGGAAACGAACTTATAAAAGAGACAATTTCTCCTGAACTCATTCTTCGGATTCATAGACCAACTACCCCGACAAGCAACAGATACAATGACTTACGCCGATTAACAAGTACAGAAAAGAGCTTGCGACATTGATGGCTTGTAAGTCATCTCCCAAAAAGTCGGAAAAAATGTAAAAGAAAAAAGCTATGCTTCCCCCACTGTTCCAACAATCCAATCTCAAAACGAAGCAGAAAGAACAACATACTTCGAAGAGGAATTTATCAGATCCAGAAAAACTATACATTCCCAGATCAAATCCAAGATCGTTAATAAGCAACACGAAAAGCAAAGTCTCACAAAATAAAGTGTAAACCAGCGATCAAAAGCGAAGATAGACGAGTCGATCAAGCAAAACTTCAAATCTGTGATCACACGAAAGTAATTGTACACATACACAATGTAGACTTTGACCGCCATTGAAGTCTTCGAAGGTTCGCCCGTCTCTCCCTCTCTCTGTGTCTGATGGCCCTTCGCTGGTCGAAGCTAATACTACTGGCCGTTGCCGAAATGGTGGGGAGCACAGGACATATTTATAGTTGCACATGACAGCGTAATTATTAGTTAATAACTCCTGATTTGTAAATTAATTAATTATTTTTCTAAACTTTTTTGAAAGATTAAAATGATTGATGATGATAGGGTGGTGTCACCTCTATCATCATTCTTAGAGTTTGTCAATTTTAGATTTTGTCAATTTAGGAAGCTTTTCTTTTGGATCGATATATTATTTTATGAACTAAGAATTATATATATATGTATATATTTAAAAAATAGTCTAATCATATTTTATTACGAATTTTGTTACTAAAAAATATAAGATATTTTTAATTAATTTTTTTAATAAATTAATTACTTACTTTCAATTTAATATTATTTTTTTATATTTATCCTTATTAAATATTCTATAATAAATATAAAATTATTTATTAATAGGGACACTCTTGAAAAAAAACAATAATTACATTTTAAAAGACTAAAAATATCTTATATTTTTAAATATTTAACTCCTCAAAAAATATTTTACATTTTTAAATGAAAAGAGTATGTATTGTTGATGATGTATAAACTTTTAAATGTTCATTTTTATTTTACCGATAAGTAATTGTTTTAGTTAAATTGCTTCATTGTTCAATATTATGAGGCAATTTTTTTAAAGTATAATGTTAAAAATATAAAATATTTTGGGCTTTTCAAGATGTAATTAATCATGTTTAATCATTAATTATAAATGTTGTTGATAAGATTTTTCAATTGAAATTGAGATATCGTTTTGTAAATATAAAAAGAGTCTATAATTTTAAAGACAATTAATTGATTCATTAAAAATATATTTTGATTAAAAAATATTTCATGATTCATAATATATGTATTTTGATGAAATTAATGATGTTACATTTTTCTAACTCATAATATATGTATTTTCTATTGATAGATGTCAATAATTAAGATAAAATTTATAAAAATAATATTATAATCCCCCTGTTTCTCTTTAGAAATTATTTCTTCCAGCTTCATCAATGTTAATATAATAAAAGTGTAAAAAATAAAAATAAATAAAATTTTAAGTATAACTCTCAAGTAAAAAGTAAAAATTAAATAAATTATATAATACTCCCTACATCTTAAATTATAAGATATTTTTAAATAAAATTTCATAATCAATAAAGCTCATTAAATATAATTTACAATCTTATCTTTTCAAGATAAAAATATAAATTTTTAAAAATATCATTCATTTAATACTTTATTAATAAAAGAATATTGAAAGAGAGAATACATGAGAAGGTTAATTTAAAAAAAATATCATTAATAAAACTTTATTTTTATCAAAAAGTCTTATATTTTAAAATGTCAAATCTTTTATAAAAGTGTTTTATACTTTAAAATAAAAAGATTATTATTATTATTATTATTATTATTATTGATCTCACTCTCTTTTACTTTTCAATAATAGTGTAGAGATTTGAATTTAAAATATAAAAATTTTATCATGAGTTCAGGTGGATGAAATTATATTTTTAAAAGGTGCTTAATATATAAAATTGAAGGAAATATGTTACAATACCGGGCGCCGCCTTCATTTACTTGAATCTGGCAGCCATCCTTTTTCAACTTTGACGGACGCACTTCTTTAAAATTATTGTCTTAGTTTAAAAATAAAATAATGGATGTAGATTTTCAAGTTTCCATTTCATGGGTATGGTGATAATAATTTTTATATTACATGTGCATAGGCGGGGACGGGATTTCGTTTTTATTTTTCTTTTTTTTTTTTAACCAAAGGAAATTCATTCAATCAACAGAAGGAAAGAGGCGAGACTCCAAATACAGAGTTTGAAAAATAAAATATAATAACAGAAATGAAAAAGCAGACAGGAAATAAAAAAATACAGCATTCAACCAATTCCAGTTTTATCTGAAATCGAAGCAAAAAAATCTATCCCTAGTATACAAAAAATTAGCATCTTGCAATAACAGCAACGCTAGAGGAGGTGATGGTGGAGATTCCACCTAACCCAAAATTCCCAAACTCCTTTAAAGCAAAACCTGCCAACCAGGGATTTCGTTTTTGCAGACCATTTCCTTTTGACTGTTTAAATTTAATATTTTTAATCATATTTTATATTTTTGAAAATAATTTTTTGATAAATTATAAAAACTTTTAATAAATTTATTTCCTCACTTGAATAGTTGAATTTAATATGAATGGTTCATATTTGGTATTAAATTTTTTATAATCATATTATATTAGATGTGGATCATTTATGTTAAATTTAGATTGTCTAGATCAATAAACATATTTATTAATATAAAATTTTTTATTTTAAAAATATAAAATAAAAAATAAAAAATATTAAATTTGTACCATTTGAAGATTCCTCACAGCCGACTCCCGTGTTTCGTTGGCTTTGGGTTTGACCGTGAGGGGCAGGACAGCCATGCCGCCTATGCGATGATCAATGATGCGTCATCTTCGCTTAAAGACAAGATCATGATAGCCAGTATGGGGGACAAAAACTAAAATGCATAAAGCCTCGTAAAGTTTGAAATAGTTAATGACTTTTCTCATATTTAAAATTTTAAAATTAAAGGCTTGTTTAAAAACTTATTTTAAAAATAATTTTCTGTTCTTTAAAATAAAAAATAAAAAAAATTTATTTAATAGTGTGTTTTTAAAAAGTATTTTAAAAATAAAATAAAATATTGTTGAAAAAAATGAAAACATATTTTAAATGTTTTAGGATTATTATTTTAGAGAATAAAGAAGAATGAAAAAAATATTTATTTTTATTATTTTTTTGTTCTCAGGACATTTTTTATAAAGCATCAATTCTTATATCAATAAAATAAAAATAGTTTTAAACAGTCCCTAACTCTCCTAATCTTTAATTTTATTTTTCAAAGCCCCCTAAAGTTAATTATATTATTTTTTATAAGGGTTAAAATGTCATCTAAGTAATCGATGTTATTACACAAGATATTACTTCCTTCGTTCAAAAATATAAGATATTTTTAATTAAATTTGACTCTCAATAAAGTAGTTACCTACTTTTAAACTAATCATATATTTTCAAATTCACTTCTATTAAATATTCTATAATAAATATAAAATCATTATCAAAAGAGACACTTTTAAAAAAATAATGATTATACCTCAAAAGATTAAAAATGCCTTACATTTTTTAATATCCAACTCTATAAAAAATATCTTATATTTTTAAATATAGGAAATATGGCTAATTAATTTTTTTATATTTTTTTGGATAGTTGAGGTATTGATAGCAAAAAAAAAATGAAATTTTCATTGTATAAAATTTTAAATATTTACATTTGCATTAGTTTCATTCATTTTTTGTTATCAATGAACAGTCATGCATAATTTTCTTATATTAAAGGATAAATTAATCTAACATGATAATATCTAAAATTTTAAATATTTTAGCCAAATTCATTACATTAATTTAACTTGAATATATAAATAAAACTTTATCCTTTAAAACAATAAAACTATGCACTATTGATAAAAAAAATTAATAAAGGTAATATAAATGCAAAAAGTTAAAATTTTATACCATGATAATAATATTTTTTTTGGCTAGCAATGCTTTAACTATCTAAAAAAATGAAAGAAATTGATTATAAATAATTCTGTAATATAATATTTTTGTTTGATAACTTTTTTTAGTTAAATAACATTTTAATCTTTATGAAGAATAATATAATTAACAGTAGTGATTTTAAAAAATAAAATTAAAAATTGAAAGAATTAATTTTAAATTTTTAAATGTGAAGAGCGTTATGTACAGTTAACTCAAATTTTAAGAGAATTTTTATGCATTTTAACCCCAAAAAAAAGGCGAAAAATGCCATCAAGTTGTGTGGGACCAAATTGGGATATGGTTGAAGATGGGATGAGGCTGTCTTGATTTGTTACGAGGACGCACATTTTGGCATAATTTGAGATGAAAACCAGGAGACTAGGATTTAATGGTTAATAATTGTCTTAAATATAAATCACTTTGCAACAGTGTGCATAGTATTAATTGTTTTATTCTGACTATGCCATTCTTCTTAATTTTCAACAAGAAAATAAACAATGTTTGTTTTTAAACTTATGATATTTGTCAAGGGCGAAAATAAAAACAAAAATAATTTTTAAATAATTTCAATGATATAACTAATTTTTCTTTATTCTTGTAAATTAATTGTAGACAAATTATAATAAGTAGAGGAGGCAACAGTCATTTTGAGGGATGCATGCTCCATGAAGCGTTGATACAATGCCATGTCTAAAGTCTGAACAAAAGCTTGCCCCGTTTCTTTGATTCTCCGTCTCTGACTCTTATCTATTGGGTCCCTAAATGTGAAATTGATTTATAAGCACGAAAAGAGCACTAGAGGACTTCTGTAGCGATTTTCTTGCAGAAAAGGATTATAAGATTTTGATTTTCCATTAAAGGATCAGAAGATTAAAATAAAAATAATTGTTGATTATAAAATGACAAGAATACTGTTTTTTTTCTCTGTTTAAAAAAAAAATATCACCAAACAGTTATTAACTGTTAAAGGCGAGGGTTTGATCCCGAGATCTCTTACCCACTCAAAAAATTAACAATCATCAAACCACCTATACTATTTAATTGTAACATGCAAACAATAATGATTTTAACAAAAGTTAGTCCTATTTTAATGAACAAGTTATCATTCACGAAAAAATAACAAATCTCAATTATTAAGCAGTTACTATTTAACGATGGTATTAACGTATTCGGTGTTATTTGGTAAACAAGTCATGATTCTAGAGAAAACAGAAGTATTGATGACTTGATGATTATTAATCTTTTAGGTGTACAAGGGATATTAGATTTAAATCTCTTAACTACTTTTAATAATTTAATTGATTGTTGATACCAGAGATCTAATAGCTAGCAACCTCGTCGATGGCAAGTTGGCAGTGGTAGGGGCCTTTGGCAACCAAAGGCGGCAGTGATAGTGAGGTGGAATTTTTTTAATTTTTAAAAATAAAAATATTGTTGTCATTTTACATTTAAATCTATTTATATTTTAGTCTTCTGGTTTTGCATTGTAAAATTAGAATCTTTTGATTCTTTTGATTCTTTTATGCAAAAAAAAAAAAAAAAGCAACCGAGGCCTTCTAGTGAGATATTCCATAATAAATAAAGCACAAATTCGTGAACGAAGACGGAGCATGATTATTGAATTTTTATTTTGCCCGCGGATATCATCAATCAATTATCGGAAACAACAATATTAAAAGCAGCATAAATGCAAAACGTTGTATGAAAACTGAAAATGATTAAAATAAGGCATTGGTAGATGGGACGCGAGGCCTGATGCCATCCCTGAGTTGAACCCAAGCAATATGATCATGGTGTCCTTTGACCCGTTTCCCAGCGTTCTACCACCGATACGGGGAGACAAGACAACTCGGCGCTGCATTTAATTGACCCTCCAAAAAGCACCTCATTGTCTCTGCCATGACACCTCACGTAAAAGTCAGAAACGGGCAGGCCCTTGAGCCCCATTTTTTTTTTTTTGTAAATTGCTTGATTTTTGAAACTCAATCCTTGTTTAAAGGATTTAAAACAGGGTCCATAAGTTTTTTTATTATTTTTTTATATTTTTTTAAAATAAAAAATTTAGTTATAAAATTTCGTATTTTTTAAAATATAAATATCAATTATAATATTAAAAGTTTAAAAATAAATAATAAAAAATTAAATCTTAAAATACAAACATATAGTTTAAATTTAATTTAAAAAATAAAAATATTTTTTTAGATTTAAAATGAAAAAGGGCTTAAAATAACCACCTAAGCCCGAGCCTGAGTCTGTTTTTCAAGACCTATCAGAGTTAAGTTTCAGAACCTGATTTTCCTAAAAATAATATTTTTTTAAGTCTGAACTCCTATAAAAATGAGTTTAAATGAATGACTTATTAGGCTCGACTTTATTCCCAATTCTAAACTCACATCCCAAATCATAGTAATTTAATCATCTCTTTCTTCTTTTTTTAAACAAACATGATAATTTAGGGGTTGTTTGAAACTGTTTTTATTTTATTGTTTTAAGAACTAGTGTTTTGTAAAGTATGTTCTGAGAACAAAAAAATAATGAAAATAGGTGTTTTTAAATTCTTCCTTGTTCTTCAAAACAATAATCACGGAACACCTAAAAGTTATTTTTATTTTTTTATTCTCCAAAATAATATTTTATTTTTTATTTCTCCAAAACATCTTTTGAAAACACGTTATCAAATAAATTTTTTTGTTCTCTTATTTTAAAGAATAGAAAACTGTTCTCAAAATAAGTTTTTAAAAAAACCCTTAATTATCTTGTTCTGTTTTTGACAAATAATTGGTTGGATCGACTAACACATAAAATCTGAGTTTTTTCACCCCCTTTTGGAGATTACCGGCCATCAAAGACACAGCAACAATAAATCACCAACACCAACGACATTCATGAACGTGAGAAAATGACCTCATTATATAATTTTTTTACTTCCTCTATTAAAAAATATAAAATATTTTTAATTAAATTTTACCTCTCAATAGAATATTTACTCATTTTCTAACAAATCATATTTTTTTATATTTATCTCTGTAAAACACTCTATAATAAATATAAAGTTATTTATCAATAGGGATACTTTGAAAAAAAAGAGCAATGATTACATATCGAAAAATTAAAAATGCTTTATATTTTTTAACATTCAACTTCTCACAAAATGCCTTATATTTTTAATAAAGGAAGTAAATTTTATGATATCATTTTAACATATTTTTACATAATCTTTAAATTATCTTGAATTTCTATACTCCATCTATCCTCAATGACAACACACTTTAACAAAAATAAATTTTTTATCAATAATAATTTTCTAATGTTCCTTTCACATTATATTCTATTTTTAATATTATTTCATATATTGGGTATTAAATGAAGAATATTTTTAAAAGTTTATATTTTTATTTTAAAATAATAAAATTGTAAGGTATATTTAACGAATTTTATTGATATGAGTAATTTTATCTAGAAGTGTATTATAATTTGAAACGAAAAGAGTATAACTTATAATGCTTAGAACATATATAAAGTAATTTCAACAAAAGCTAATTCAATTAGTAAAAATTTATCCCATAATTCAAAAAGTCATGGCTCGTATGATCAAATTACATTGCCAACATGAAAACTTTATTAGTGGGTAGTTTGTGAGTAATTTTGAAAACGTTATTTAAATTTGAAAACATACATTAGTTTTTACAAATTATCGAGATTTATCTAAACTTTTTTGTGTGAAGAAAAGAACATATAAAGTAATAAATTTTGAAATAAAATATGTCATTCAAAGTTTTTTGGTAAAATGATAGAAAAATCTATTTAAATTATGCAAATAATAGATTAGCCCTGTGTTGTGAATTTTCAACACTTGATGCATATAAGGACTTGCATATGTGGAGTTGCGAATGACTATTAAATTATTGTGAATTTAAAAATAAAAGTTGTTAATGTAGAAATAAAAGTTGTAAATAAAAAATTATAATTTTTCAACACTTGATGTATATTAAGACTTGCAGATGTGAAGTTGCAAATGACTATTGAATTGTTACAAATTTAAAAATAAAAGTTATTAATATAAGAGCAAAAATTGTGAATAAAAAGTTGTAAATTTTTAACACTTGATGTATATTAGGATCTGTAGATCAGGACCTGCGAATAGCTATTAAATTATTACAAATTTAAAAATAAAAGTTGTTAATAAATGAATAAAAGTTGTGAATTTTTTTAATATGAATAAATGAAAAGATTGTCATTTTTTATAATTCCCTAATTCCCTAATGATAGAAAACATCCCTTACAACTTTAGGAAAATTATGTTATTTTATGCGATCAATTTGTCATTTATATAATTTAAATAAATTTTTCTATCATTTTTTAAATTTTTTCACATCAGTATTAGGTAATAAATTATAAAATAAAATAAGTTGTATTTTTAAGAATGAAAAATCTTCTGTAATTTTCAAATATAACCTTATTAAAAGTCAACCTTGCATTAATTATAACGAATTAATTACGTATAATATTTAATTGCACATAAAGGTATAAAAAGAAAGGGTATTAAATGTTCTAGATATTAGTATCAAACTAAACCTATGACTATTTTGGACCAAATAAAGTTGGAGAACAGGATTGATCGAAATAATAAAAGGCGTCTCTAACTAAAATGTATAAGCTAAGAAAAATGCTTCCTCCATTTCTATTAAAATTATCGTAGAAAGGATTTTGTGATTTTTTATAAGGCACTGCATTATTTGTTAAGTAAGAGGTGAGTAATTTTTATTTTTAATTGCTCCCATGACATTTTAAGTAGAAAGTAGGTATTTTATATTTAGTTTTTTTTTAAATTATAAGATGTTTTTAGTCAAATCATACTCTTAATGAGTTAGTTAATTATCTTTAAAATTATATACCCTTTTTATATTTACCTTTATTTGATACAAGATGGTGTCTCAATTAAAAATATTATTAATTACCACCCCTAATTAAAGATATTTTTAGAAAAAATTCATTAATTATACTTTAAAAATATTTTTAACATCTTATCTTAAAATTTGTTCCTAATCGATCGACCTCTACCCTTTTATAAATAACAATTCCTATTTCTATTGATAAAAAAATATGATTTAAAAGTTTATAAAATGTTGAATTACACTTATTCATGTAAAAAAAACGTTAAAGAATTAATATTAACATAGACACTTGTCATCCTATTATTCTTCTATCATATAGATGTATAGATTAAGCAAGTTTTGATACTAAGTTTTGGGCCTAGAAGCGGGGCTGGACCAGTTGGGCATACAACTTATAGGCTTCCGGCTTTGATAGTATATCATGATGGTATATCCAATCTCCGCGGGAAAGGCCAGGGCGAACAGTAGTTGCCACCGGCCGGCGTGTTAGCCGGTCAGCGACCACCATGGGCGGCCGGCCACGTAATCAGCCAAGCGCATACAGTCACAACTGGAGATCAGGACTCGAGCTGACGCGGGCCTAGCTGCCTCTACCTTTAGCCTGCACTGGTGGCTGGCGGTGTCATCCTCCCTCAGTTTCCACCATTTACAACCATTGGCCTCCGCATTGTGCATTTCAGGTAAGTCCTATGGCTGGATTTAAGGCTTTATGAAAGAAACACTTATCTAGGACTACTAGAAAGTTCTGCGGAAGATTGAGAATATTGCCACCAACAGAGGAAAAGGAAGTCGAGAGTCCCTAACTTTGTATGACTAATAATTATACTAGGCGTGAAACTAATTGGACGAGCAAATTGATGACTGAGCTTTGCTATTAATAAATTGAATGATATCAAAATCTATACAGCCCTCATGAATCAAAACACAACAGCGGAACCGCTGGCCAGTCAAAAAAAAAAAAAATCGCGTTCTGTACGGAGATAATTAGTAGATACTCTTTCCAAGAAAATATTTCTTGCTCCTCTTCTACATACACCATAGATCATGGTGCTTCTAATAAGGTAATAGTTGATTCGTTGGTGGAGTTAATGTCCATTTTGCCTGAGAAGAAATAGGGTTCAATGAAATCTTTCTTGGTGTAGAAAGCAGGCTCCTTAGGCTGAGGCAATTTAGTTTCACTCCCCAACATTAGAACCACAGTAGACATGGTTGGTCTATCTTCCGTGTATTGCTTGACACATAAGAGGCCTATATGGATGCAACGTTGTACTTTTGATAGGATGCAAGATTCCTCCAGCTCTGAGTTAATTAATTCAAAATCCCTTCCTTCTTTCCATAGACTCCAAGCCTGAACCATAACGTGAAAAATTGAAAATCATTAGTCTACTGTTTTCCTTCTGGAATTATAATGAGGAGGTGTCCTTGGAAAAAGCTAGAGACTTTTCCTCATCAATTTAGTGCATTTAGTATCCCCAAAAAAAGCCAGTAAATTTTTTTGGAAGGTTGTTATCAGGCTCTCCTATAAAAAACACTATGTGCGGAAGCTCTTTTGAAACAATCAATCGTGTAGTGTTGAGATGTAAAGGATGCTCAGTGTCAGGCTTTCCTTGAAGAATTAGATATTAAATATCTAATAAATTGCACTTTAGTCCCCGTATGCTTCTTGGAGCAATTGAACGTTGGTTGGTGAGGAGAGATACCGTCGCTCTTTGCCAAATGGACGAACTCCATTGAGATGTCCCATTTATGTTTAAGATATTAAAATTTTGAAACTTTAATAATATGCTTACATGACTTTGCTAAAAAAAAAATAATAATAAATAATATGCTTACATGACAAATGAGGTTGAGGGACTGGTCAGGATGATAAAATCCTCTACTTCTCTTCCCGCTTATAATTTCCAGTACCAAAATACCAAAACTGAATACGTCAGATTTTATAGAGAAAAGTCCATCGGCTGCATATTCTGGTGCCATGTACCCACTATAATCCACAATTAAAACAATGGTTAAAGAAGATTAAAACACAAAAAAATGAACAAGGAGCTTGTTAGATTGGCATTGAGATGCTCACTAAGTCCCAACTACTCGCTTTGTGTTTCCTTCAATTTGGTCTCCTCCAAATATTTTAGCAATGCCAAAATCTGATATCTTGGGGTTTAACTTGTCATCTAATAAAACATTACTTGCTTTAAGATCTCTATGAATAATCCTCAATCTAGAATCTTGGTGAAGATAAAGAAGACCCCGGGCAATTCCACAAATAATGTTGTAGCGTTTAGGCCAATCTAGGATCCTGCCTTTGGTGTTATCTGTTATATGAAATTAAGTAAGCTGTCTAGTTTGAAGTCAATAGTTAAAGTATCATAGGCCCTAAAGCGATACCAGTCTATCCTCTCAAAACCTTTCTTGAAGTTCTCACTAAAATAAAAGAGCTTTCTTGAATTGTTCATACCAAAAATGAAATAGTCCAAGCTGCTGTTAGGCATGTATTCATACACCAGCATTTTGTCTTTTCCTTTGATGCAACAACCAAGAAGTTTTACAAGATTTCGGTGCTGAAGTTTTGCAATCAATTTAACTTCATTTTTGAACTCTGTCATTCCTTGTCCTGATCTTTGTGAAAGCCTCTTCACAGCAATTTCTTGCCCATGTACTAATCTTCCCTGCATATTGATGTAAGAAGTACATAGGGATACTCATTACAGTATGAAGAACTTTTCAAATGTTTTTATCCTTGCACCTTTAAATTTAGTTACCTTATATACAGGTCCAAAACCTCCTTCTCCAATCTTTTTCTCCTCCGAGAAGTTATTGGTGGCAACAGCTACAGTTTCAAAATCAAGCAAAGGGAGATCCAGATCATCAACCCTGTCCCCCTCCTTCTGATCTTCTTCGTTTTCTGATTTCTCTGACAAAATGGAGAAAAAGTTTCTGTTCAGCTACTATCATAATGTCCATGGTCGTTCAAGGAATCCCACCATTAGCTTCTCAAATCCCTATCAAATCTTAGTTAATTTAAATGGCCCAAGAAAAAATTCCTTGATTAAGTTACCTTTGATGTTCCTCTGGTCAAGGTAGATATAACAACAAAAACCGAGCAAAAGCATTGCGGAAATTGCAGCCAAGGTTGAGACAACTATTATAGTCAACTTCTTCTTGCTCCTTCGTACTTCACCTTCAAGATTGAATTTGATTGAATACATGAAAAGGGTAAAATAATGCAAATCGAATGAATAAAATCAAATGTAAAGAATCACTTAAAAGGCAATATGTAAAGAGGATACCTAATTCTGAGGCAGCCATTCGAACATACAAATCCTGCCCACCACCCGAAAATTGTCTAATGTCAATTAGGTCTCCAAACCACATGGCACAGCCACTACCTTGACCTCTTATGTCTGAATTCGTATAGGCCATACAAGAACAATTGTTCAAGCATTTGTTTCTGCATTCTTCTAGAGAGATTGTCTCATCCAACCATGTATTTGCAGTATCTGGTAGCTTCAAATTACTCATTTTGACAAAGCCATCCTTGCAGCTTAATGGTTCATTTCGGACACATCCTATAGACCAATCCATGGAGTTCCATTTTTTTGGCGACTTGGGACTAAACCCTTTCAAGCATTGACAAACTGGGGATCCTGAAATTATGCAGATTCCGTAAGCTCCACAGAGGCCATAACTATCACAATAGTCCAATGGCACTGTTTGATATATCCTCCAAACTTGCTGAGATTCTATCCATACATAACGTTGACGAGCATGAGCTGTTATGTTCAATACTTGTCTTGAGATAACAGAATGATTGCTGAGCTGATACATGAAGTAAATCTCATCCTTATTGGACACAAACTTGTAATCATAAATGGGGTTGGCCTTGATTTGTGGCGAACCACTTGGGCGAAGGCCGTTCCATGGTCCAGCTCGGTAGAATTTCTGGGGTCCCTTCATCATATAGGCATCAGGATAATTATTAAGCACCATCCCCCAAGAGAAATCTCCTGTAGAAGGATCATCTGGACTCTTCCAAGCTACCAGACGCCTGTTTAGACCAGTTCTTAAGTCCCACCCAAATTTCATACCTGGCAAGAATGTATCAGTTGGGTTATCAAAACTTTGCCACACATAGGTTTCTGGGCCTGCTTCTTTCTCCTCTCTAACCACAAGATTTCCAGATTCCAATAGATTGGCTACTGGGTTTTGTGGGTTTTTCACGGAGGGTGTGGACCAAACTATTGTGTGGTTTTGGGTGAGGACTAGACTTCCGGTGCTGTTTAGTGTTAAGATGCCGGAGGAATCGTTGATTGGGTTGTTCCGATTTGCGACCCAAACTACCGTTTGAATTGGGATATTCTTGTACCATATTCCCAGGTAGCGGTTGTTGGAATTTCCAGGACTGAAGAATCCAAGTTCAAAGGTTCCACTTTCGGAAACGAAGGTTGCGCCGTCATCTTTAATGGATTGTGACTGAGAAATGTAGTCTAATGCTAAGGAAACTTGCAGACATAGAAGTATATGAGCAATAGTAATACTTGCAAAATGATTATTTCCCATTCAATCTCGTCTTTTCCAGAACTGGGCAAATTGGTTAGAAGATGAAACGGGAGAAGAAAAGGAGAGAAAACACTAAACATAGGAGACTTCTTTTATCTTTTCCTCCACTCGGTTTCGTGTGCGCATCAATTTTTGCGCTGGGCACGAAAAGGCGACATGAAGCAGAAATAATTGAAGGACTCGGCTGCGCTGACGTTTGTTTTGAAGGAGGACGTCGCTTGTTTACGTCGCTTTCTTTGGCAAGTCTTTTTTCGAGTATATAGAAATATGAAAAATATCACATGACCAATTAACAAACTGCTTTCACTCCCTTCACTCTCCTGTTATAAAAATAATCACTCCTGTCCTTATTATAAAATATTTTTAATTATTTTATATATTAATAAAAATTAATTTTTTATATTATAAAAAATAATATGTATTTTTATTTTTATCTTTAATTTTAAATAATAATATAAATGCATTAAATACCTTTACATTAATTAAGAAAGGATACAATTGAAAAAACAGTTTAATTGTTACAAAATGTTTTAAATTTTGGATCAAAAATTATTTCTAGAAGTTGTTTTATAAATAAGATTGGAAGGAGTATCCTTCAAGGACCACTAAGGATATTTAATATTAATTAATAATAAAAAAGATTTTAAAATATCATTGTAGGATCAAGAGATTGATTTGAAAATAATTTTAAATAAAAAAGACTACAATAGCCCTACATTTTTTTTATTGACAAGTGGTCATTCATTAATTAATAATACTTATTTATATTTAATAAAAAGTCATTCGCTAATTGATAAGTTTAAAAATATGAAAGAGCTTGGTTGTGGGAAAGGATAAGTGTAATTCATGTTTTAATAAGTAATTACTTGTTAATTAACAAGTATACGTTCACATTTAACAAGAAGGCATTCGCTAATTGACAAATTTAAAAATATGAAAGAGTTTAGAGCTTGGTTGTGGGAATAGACAAGTGTGGATCATATTTTGACAAGTAGCCATTCAATTAATAAGTACTCATTTGCATTTAATAAAAAATTATTTGTTAACTGACAAGTTTAAAAATATGAAAGAACTTAGTTGTGGGAAGGAATAATTGTATATCATATTTTAACAAGCAGTTATTGATTAATTAATAAATACTTATTTGTATTTAACAAGAAATCATTCATTGGTTGATAAGTTTTTTTTAAAAAAATAAAAACAAGGGTATTATAGTCTTATCTCATCTAAAATTATTTTTAAATCAATTTTTTAATATGATATTACATAATCTTTTGGTTATTGTTTGACATTAAATTTTTTTGGTGATCCTTAAATGATATTTTGCGTATATATAATACTTTTAACTACTAGTTGGTAAGAATTTAAAAAGTAGTTAAAACTTGAAAGTGATTATATTATTAAAATAGTAAATTTTTTTAACTACTTTTCAGGGCTACCTTCTAATTAAAATCTATATATCTTAATTATCTTTAATTTCTTTCTCATATAATCTTTTTTTACGATACAATTAATAAGGGTTTTTGTGAAAAAGAAGAACTTAGTGTTATTGATTTTTTTCATTTTCTACAAAGTATTTCTATATTTTGAACAAAACGCCAGAGGATAAGTGTTATATACCTTAAACAAAAAGATTACTTTTTAAATATTTGGGTATTCTTTGATCTGTGGTCTTCCTTCTGTTATTAAATGCTCCATTGAACTCTATCGTCACCTTATTTATATCCTTTTTTTAACACTAGATTAAAAAGAATAACTGGAAAAACTTCTCGACATATTATATGCACTATACTTATTAATTTTTTAATTTTTTTTTCTTTTTGTATGTGTGCATACTCTTGTTTTTGATTATATAGTTCATCTGGTCAAAGAAAAATAAGAGTTCTTTTTATTAATTGTTCATGTCCGTATCTCACGTGCCTTTTTAGAACAAAACAAAGAATTTATTTTCTTCGTGGTTGAATCATTACAAAGACATTTGGCATGTCGTGTTTTGTTCCTAATATGTACCAGGCAGGATTCAAAATAATCAAAGACCAAGTGGTTGTCGGATTATACACGAAATTATTAAAATAAGACACGACAAGCTCAAGTCCCTTTATTTCTTAGCTGTCATTTTCATACATATTATTGTTATCCTGCATATATAATATTTCAATTTGTGATTGAGATAATTTATATAAATGTTATATTATTATCATCTTATACTTTGATAGGATTGGAAATTAATTTCAATATTTTAAAATAGACTTATGCATGCTACTAAAAAAGGTTTTTTCGCAACCAAATTATCTGTCCAAAAACATATGATAACAAAAGTACAAAATTATCCATACACCTTTTTCTTTAGTGTGAGCTTCAATCTCCTATGGCCATTAAAGTCTTACTGGTGAATATTTCTACGTAAAGAGGCCCCTCCTTCCCTACTCGCTATTTTATTTATACAGAAAAACCTATTGTAACTTTTGTTTTTGTTTTTATTTTTATGATGATATCAATCGTATGAGTTAAATACGAATTCATTCTTCACTTTCTCCCTGTTATGTCTATATGACATCTAATTTTGTTAGACTAGATTCAAGTATTATTGTGTTAAAAAAAAGGTATTTTTTCAACATAGCTTTATTTATTTATTTATTTTAATTCCATCACGAGGCATCATAAGAAACTTGAGGGTATTACCACCTCTTATCTAAACTAATCTAAACTTTTGTTGTGTGGGATTGTTATTACCAGCACCTTATAGGTTTCTTGGAAATGTTTTTGTTATATTTATTTGATGCGATTGCATATTCCAAGAATGGCACTTGAGATTTCAGAATAAGCTGATTCAACTTTCTTGATCAGTTGAACCAAATGTCCTTCCATTAGACTCATGATTTTATTTGAGGAATATTGAGCCATTTTCACTGAACTTGATTTTTTTTGTGTTATGTGAAGAGGGCTTCATTCATATTGAACTCAAAATTGACCCTGATACCTTGCAAAACAAGTAAGATTGAAGGCAGTTACTTGGACGGGAAGACTCTAGACTTTTGATGCCACACAGACATCAAATTCCACACACACACACATCAAATTGATGTGGAATTATTTTAGTTATCTTTTGTTGAGAATAATGGAAAATGGAAGGGGACAAAGGACAATGTTTGATTTAAATCTGATAAAATCAAGAAAAAAATTCGAATAAATAATTCCTTTGTGCTTTTCATTCAAACACGCCCTTATAATCGGTCTTCAATTTTGGCTCTGGCATGACTTCTTACCTTATACCATCAAGGAATGTCCAATTTTCTTTGCCCTACTTCAAAAGTTAAACTTTAAAACGTTTGTCATTATTGCAGTGTACAATATCTGACTCAAAATAAGGCCTATTTATGTTGACTAGATCATGTGAACCATTTCACACTCGTACTAAATCTGTTTGTACTCTGTAGTCGACTTCCATCTTGCTTAGAAACCCATTTAAAATGTGCACTTGAAGCAATAAGAATCAAACCCTTCACTGCATAATCAGAAGAGGTTCCTATATATCTCTGAGAAATATGGTTGTTCAAGTTAACTTCAAGTTCATCTTTTCAGAAACTCATGGCGTACCTATAGCAGAGTGAAGGTGAAAAATGGACAAGAAACTTGGTGACCAAGGAATTTAATAAATAAATGAAATAATATCAAAATTTAGATTCTCCACATAATCTACAAATTCACTCACTGCTGTACAGAGGAAAAATAAACCCTTCTTCCTATTGGATAGTGGGTTAATCCTTCTATTCAGAGTTCAGTATCATCGAGCTTCTAACAAGGTAATGGTTACTTCGTTGGTGGAGTTAATTTCCATTTGGCATGTGCTAGAATTTGTTTCAATGAAATCCTTCTTGGTATAAAAACCAGGTGCTTTAGGTTGAGCCAGTTCAGTTTCACTTCCCAACATTAGAACCACAGAGGGCATGGTAGGCCTATCCTCGGGGTAGTGTTGGACACACAAGAGGCCAACATGAATGCAACGTAGTACTTTTGATAGATTGCAGGATTCCACTAAGTTTGAGTCTATGAGTTCTATTGCACTTCCTTCTTTCCACAGATTCCAAGCCTGAGCCATAGCAGACAATTGTTAGTCACATTTTCTGTCTTTGTTCTTTTTGGATGTTACGTGTCTTTTTTATCAGAACACTTTATGGTAAAGAAGTAAAAAACTGCACCTATGTTCTTATTTTTGCTTAAGATATCAAAACTGAGAGAAACATTGTATAATATGCTTACATGACCAATTAAGTTGAGGGAGTGGTTTGGATGATAGAACCCTCTACTTCTCTTTCCGCTTATAATCTCCAATAGCAATATACCAAAACTAAAAACATCTGATTTAATGGAAAAAAGACCATCTATGGCATATTCTGGTGCCATATATCCACTGCAAAGTACCCATAAAACAAATGATGTTAAGGAATATTCAGAAATGAGTATAAGGAACTTATTAGCTTGGTATTGAGACACTCACTAAGTGCCAACTACTCGCTTTGTGTTTCCTTCAATTTGGTCCCCACCAAAGATTCTAGCTATGCCGAAATCTGAAATTTTTGGATTTAGCTTGTGATCAAGCAAAATATTGCTTGCTTTGAGATCTCGGTGAATAATCCTTAACCTAGAATCTTGATGAAGATAGACAAGGCCCCTAGCAATTCCACAAATAATATGGAATCGTTTAGGCCAATCTAGCACCTTGCCTTTTATGTCATCTGCACATGAAAACAACATTAAATTGTCTAATTTTAATGATTCAATTTCAATAATTCAAGTGTCATAAACAACTAATGTGGTATTGAACTAATGTGGTATTGATATCATTACATTAGTCAATCCTAATAAAAGCTTTCTTGAAATGTTCTTACCAAAAATGAAGCTGTCCAAGCTGCCATTAGGCATGTATTCGTACACCAACATTTTGTCATCCACTTGGGTGCAACAACCAAGAAGCTTGACAAGATTTCGGTGCTGAAGTTTCGCTATCAGTTTTACTTCATTCTTGAACTCAATTATGCCTTGCCTTGAGCTTCCTGAAAGCCTCTTAACAGCAATCTCTTGCCCATGGACTAATTCTCCCTGCATATCAATCAGCATATGCATATTTAGATACTTTTCATAGCATGAATACTTCAAATGTTTTTACCTTACAAGAGGAGTGAATTACCCTATATACTGGTCCAAAACCTCCTTCTCCTATCTTTCTCTCTAATGAGAAGTTATTGGTGGCGACAGATATTGTTGAAAAGTCAATCAATGGGAGATCCAGATCATCCACATTTTCTCCCGTATTTTGATCTTCTTCGTTGTTATCTGGTTTATCTGGCAAAATGGAGAAAAAACTTCTATTTAGTATTTATACGGATAGTGTAAATGATGGTTTATTCATAGACTACATTCACCGCGTTTCCTAAACTTTACAAATGTTTAGGAATTCTTATGCAGTAAATTACCTCATGTAGATTTTCTACACTGTCCTCAGCAAGGGAACTGCTTCAAGTGAGAATTTGCTATTTCTTAAATTTTATCAAACCCCAGAACTTTCTGTAGATTCTATACGCAGTATTAACTTCCTCAACAAACAAACTAAACAGAGTGATTACTCAATCATACCCTAACTTAATATGTTAAAAGCTGGGTAGCTTTAGTGCATTGCTATACACACCATTGAATTTGCCAACAACATCCTATATTGCGCAAGGAAACAAAAACAGAAAATATGATAAGAAATTTACCAGTCATCTTCCTCTTCCTCTGGTCTTGGTAGGTATAACAACAAAAACCTAGTAAAAGCATCACGGAAATGCCACCCAAGGTTGAAACAATTGTTATTGTCAGTTTCTTCTTGCTCTCCCTTTCTTCCTCTTCATAGTTGAATATAATGACACAAACAAGGATAAAATCAAACATCTAAATTGAATGAATGTTCTTAAACATTGAAGGACCTCAAAACTCTACACAACTTATAGTTTGATACCTAATTCCGAATTAGCCATTCGAATAAACAGATCCTGCCCATCAGAAGTAGACTGTCTGATATCAATTAAGTCCCCAAACCACATGACGCAGCCACTGCCCGCTCCTGATATATTAGAACTTGTATAGGCCATGCAAGAACAATTACTCAGACACTTCTTTCTGCATCCCTCTAGGCTCATACTTTGATTTATCCAAGTGTGTTCAGTTTCTGGCACTTTCAACCCAGCCAACCTGATAAACCCATCCTTGCTTCCATTACTACAGTTCAATGCTTCATTTCTCACACATCCGCCTGACCAATCCATTGAGTTCCAAGCTTGTGGTATCTTAGGCTTGAACCCTTTCAAGCATTGGCAAACTGGTGAATCACTGATAATGCAATTCCCATTTGGTCCGCAGAGGTTATAGTTATCACAATAATCTTTAGGCAGTGACTGATAAGTCATCCAATTTTGGTATGCTTCCACCCACACATAACGTATGCCCTGAGACTTGGTTTGGTTCATCATCAGTCTTGAGATCACAGAAGTGTTATTAAGGCTATAAATGTAGTAAACCTCGTCCGTAGTGGATACAAAGTTGAAATCATAAATCGGGTTTGGCTTTAGATCTGGTACACCACTGAAATATAAACCATTCCAAGGTCCAATTCTCATGAACTTCTCTGAACCCTTCATAAGGAAAAACTCTGGATAGTTATGAAGCAATAACTCCCAAGAAAATCCACTTGGGGTTGGATCATCTGAGCTCTTCCAAGCTGCTATTTTCTTATTCTGACGAGTTCTCAGGTCCCATCCTAGCTTCATCCCAGGAAGTAATGTATCAGAAGGGTAATCGAAGCTTTGCCATAAGTAAACTTCTGGGTTTGCTTCATTTACTTCCCTCACCACAAAGTTCCCAGAATCTAAGAGCTCTGCCACTGGATTCTGAGCCTGCTTTGTTAAAGTTGTGTACCAGACGACGGTGTTGTTTTGGGTGAGGACGAGGTTGCCGGTGGTGTTTAACGTTAATACGCCGGAGGAATCTTTAATTGGGTTGACGCTGTTTGCCACCCAAACAACAGTTTGTGGGATTTTCCTGTACCAAATTCCCAGGTAGCGTTTGTCAGAGTTTCCTGGGGTGAAGAAACCGAGCTCAAAATTTCCACCTTGGGAAACCAAGGTTGTTCTTGGGGCGTCACTGAGGCTTTGGGACTGACGAATGGAACTAACTGCCACGGAAGGTTTGAAACCATAGACAAGAACAAAAGCAACGATGCTCATGAAACAGAGAGTGCCCATTGGTTCAACTTTTCTGGGTCTCGGGATGGATCATAGAGTTATTTTCTGTGTTTCGCAATGCAGAATTGTTTTCTGTTTTTTGGGTACATGCAATGCAGAATTGTCAAAGCCGTAAGAAACATCATGCTAGAAGTTCAAAAGAATTAAAAGTAGCTTGCAGGTGCTATCTAAGTGATCAATTAGAATAAGAAAAGAAAAATGAGTTTTGAATGAGAAGGTTGGTGCTGGTCATTGTCAATCTCTAAAGTAAATAGAGCATCGCAATTCACATGAAGTCATGGTTCCTGAAAAGTGACTTCCGAGTCCAAGGTTCTACGTCTCATCAGCAAAAGAAGGTTAAATTGACAGAGCATCACAGTTCACTTGAATTGTTTTGTTTTACGAAGTTATGTTATATGGTAGAGATTTGAGAGGATACACAGGAAAAGGATTTTCATTAAACCATTTCGTTTAACAAATTAATCATGCTAGATGAGAGGTGTGATTTGAAGTGGGTGGGTTCAAAATTATTCATTAATACTAGTATTTTACTAATGGTATTGGCCAAAAAAAAAAAAGGTATTTTCCTAACGGTAGTGGTGAATAATGTCAATCAATATTCTATTACATAATTAATTTATTTTTTAATATTTTATACCCTTATTAAATTTTCCCCTCCTCTCCCTTCATTTTTCTTCAACCAACCAATGTGCAATTTTCTCTACCACTCTTTAAAAGTTACAGTAAACTTCTAAAACTTTCTTAATAAAGTCTCCAATTAATGTCTGCTTCAAATGCCTCGATGTTAAAGTCAATTACTCAATTTGTATTGGCTACACCACGTGTTAAACCCATTAAAAAGGTGCATAGGAAGACTCAGATTCAATTAAGTGATTTGTTGTGTTTGATGATTTTTTAAAAGTACTCTAGTAAAATAAGTTTGTAAAGCAAGTAATCATAATAATAAATAGGCTTATAAATCAGATGAGGCTTGCTTTAAAATAAGATTGTAAAGTACTATATTGGTTCTTTCTTATAGACAAAATTACCTCCTTTACCTAAACCCAAAACATTATTTGATGTCTTTAAAATTATATTATTTTTAACAAACACCTTCCCTTAAATGCTCTTCTCTCTCATACCCCTTCTTTCTTTATTAATTTAAAGCATTTTTTAAAGGGAATGTTTGAAAAAAATTATCAATAATTTTCTAAATTTTGTAAATTGTCTTGTAAATGGAAATACCATAACCTTCTAAAATTATCTTGTAAAAAAGAATAAAGGAGCGCACCTTTTAAATGAGACTTTTCCTAAGGCATTTACTGTATGTTTACACATGGTTTAATTACTATGAATAAATGTTGTGTGAACCAAATCTAGTTTATGATATTGTTTTGACATTTGGTAGCAGAGTTTGGTGAGGGATTAGAAGTTCAGTACCAAACCGAATCCCTGACCCAATATTCCACTTCAATCATGTTACAATCCCAATTTTTCTACATGTGCCACATCATCAACAAATTCATCTTTTTTTAACAAACTGCTTCCTTCCTCTGCAGCATATATGTCTCCCTATCCTCTAGGAAACTAATTTACTATTCTGAATTAGATTTTCATGATCTAGATTTGAGTATAGTTTAGATGTTAAAATTCAGATTGTTTTTTGATAGAGCTGGTGATTCCCGAAAGATTTGGATGTCATTTCCTAAGACTTATGGTAGACAATTTAGGGAGGAAAGTGATTTAGAGAAGGCTAAACACCAGCAGTCAAGAGATCTATCCTAAGGTTTTTTAATCTGTAGGATTAAAATGGTAAAGGACAAGTCAGGTTAGGTATAGCCAATGGTATAGGTAGTGTTGGGAAGGGCAATGACCACTTTTTGCCTCTTTAAATTTGTCCATTCTTGCGGAGAAAAGGGAGTGGAGTATTAGATAATTTATCAAACAATGACTACTATAATAATTGAGCAATACTTGTACCTGAAATTGAGACAGTTAATAATTTGAATGATTATCTATCTTCATTGTTGCTCGGAGAACCCAGTGAATTCTTCGGTTGTGATATAGTTTGCAAATCAACACAAGATGAAGATAGCTTCAATGACTTGTATTCAACTGAATTTCTGAACTCTATTTCGAGCTCATGCCTACCTCTTCACAAGCTGATTTTGAAAGATGGTGCACCAATAACGCTACTTATAAATGTTGATCAATCTTCAGGTTTATGCAACAGTACTAGATTGAGAGCAACTCATCTTGGAACGAGTGTTATTGAAGCTATCACATTGAATGGTTCAAAGCCAAATGAGAAGGTGCTAATACATAAGATGGATGTGAATTCTTCTAAAAGTAGATGACCATTTCGAATGCAAAGAAGATAATTTCCTATTAGTCTTTTTTTTGCTATGACAATAAATAAAAGTCAGGGAGATATGTTGGATTACAATATGTTGGATTATACTTGCCTAAACCAGTGTTCACACACAATCAATTATATGTTGCACTTTCTAGAATTAGAAATACGGATGGATTGAAGATTCTTGTACATGACAAACACAATTTGCTAAGGAATAGAACTGCAAATGTTATGTATAGGGAGATATTTAATGATTTATTTCCATCAAGATGAAATCCTTTTGTGACTTGATATCTAGATCAAGGTATCTTATTGTTATGCAAGCTATTGTAATCCTTATTATTGTCGTCATTTCATGTATGTTCATGTTATATGTTGGTCATGCAATGATATCCATCAGGTGATTGTTTTTAGATACCATGTTTCTTGCAACATGTTTTCTTCAATTTATAGAATCAAAGTAATCATACATTACCGTAGATATGTAACTTTATTGAATGCCATTTTAATAAATTATGTTGTCATGTATTTTAATGCTTCCTATACATCGCACGTGAGTAAATGCTAATTTTTGAATATTTAGGGTGATGAGGAGAGCTCTGGCCTCTTGAATGCTAGATTAGGGTGGAGGAAGAACATCTTTCTTCATCATTTGTTCATGTGTAGCTTGTGCTTGTGTTGCTGTATTGGTGTATTTTGTGTTGTTTCATGTACTTTGTAATTTTAATTCCTTATTTTGCTTGAAATATAACTTCGTTATTTTGTTGAGTCCCATTTGCGATGTATTTTATGAATTTTTGCTTGTTTTAAGTTTATTAGGGTAGAGGGTTTCATCATTTTCTTAACTTAGAACTTGGTTAACTAGGACAACAATATTGAGGTATAACTGATAACTAAGTATGTGTCTAATTTTTAGTTTGTCAAAAGTTTATTTACTGAAAATTCATTTGACAAAAGTCATCAGTTTAATGAAAGTCAATTATTGTAATGAAATTTTTATTTGGAATTTGGATACATATTTTTAAAAGTCAGTTTGTTAAACTGAAAGTTGTTTGGATTAATGATAATTTATACTTTTAAATATGGAATGATAAAAAAAGACATTAATTTATGATAATTTGTAATTTTTTATACAAATGCAATATATTAGAAATGTTTAAAAATGTGAAAAAAATTTAAAATAACATAAAATTTAATATGTTAAATAATAAGAAAAAATATAAAATTTAATATTGAAAAAAATGATGTAATAAATAATTCAACATTCATTAATATTAAATAATAAGGATAAAAATATAAACTTTGACCTATTGAACAAAAATTATATAAATAATTCAATAACATTAATATTGAAAATTAATATGATTAACTGTTTAGTCTATAAAATGTCTTGTTACAATATTTTTCAAAAAAATTTGTTGGAAACCAAACTTTTATTGATTTGATCTATCAAAAACTTGCATGCAATTTCTTTTTACATAAAAATCATGGGTGTTATGGTCATAAAAAATAAGGGGAGGCCATATTTTTAAAAGCACATCTCAAAAGCTTCCCCATATAAATTGAGGAAAAGGACTTTCAAGAGCTTTTTGAAAGGACTTTTGGAACAGGCTTTGAAAAAATTTAGAAAACCAAACAACTTTGATTTCCTAAAGTTCCCAAAAGTCCTTCTCAAATGTCAAAAGTTAAATACCCAAATGGGCTATCACGTAATCTTACTTTATTACTGAAAGAGAGGACATCAGTTTTTATAAAATAACTTAAATAACTTTGATTTGAAGAGTGACAAAATCAGTAGAATGAACGTAAATGGACATGAATTTGGTGCTCAGAAATTCAATTAATTAATAAACAAATGGAATAATATCAAAATTTGGATTGTCAACATCATATACAAATTCTAACTTCTATACAGAGAAAAACAAACACTTCTTCTCCATACGGATTTGGTTGCTCCTCTCCATGGCTCCACTTGTGCCAATCCTTCTGTACAGAGTTCAACATCATCGAGCTTCTAACAAGGTAATGGTTACTTCGTTGGTGGAGTTAATTTCCATCTGACTTGTGTTGGAATTGGTTTCAATGAAATCTTTCTTGGTGTAGAAACCAGGCATTTTAGGTTGAGCCAATTCAGTTTCACTTCCTAACATTAGAACCACAGAAGGCATGGTAGGCCTGTCCTCTGGGTATTGTTGGACACACAAGAGGCCAACATGAATGCAACGTAGTACTTTTGATAGATTGTAGGTTTCCTCTAAGTTTGAGTCTATTAGTTCCATTGCACTTCCTTCTTTCCACAGATTCCAAGCCTGTACCATAACAAACAGTTGTTAGTCACATCTCATATTTTTGTTCTTTTTGGATGCTGCATGTCATTTCTATCAGGAAACTTCATATTTTCAAAAGAATCAGTCATGTGTTGAGTTGTAAAGATTATGTAGTGTCATGTTTTAATTGGTCAAGTTGAAAGTAAAGATGTAAAACAACTGTAACTATGTTCTATCTTCTAATCATCTGATAAGGAGAGTCATCTCTCTTTACCAACTGGAAAAACTCACTTCAGCAGTCAGAATTTTGTTTTAAGATATCAAAATTGAGACTTTATATAGTACGCTTACATGACCAATCAGGTTAAGGGAGTGGTCTGGATGATAAAACCCTCTACTTCTCTTCCCACTTATAATCTCTAGTAACAATATGCCAAAACTGAAAACATCTGATTTCACAGAAAAAAGGCCATCTGCTGCATATTCTGGCGCCATATATCCACTACAGTACACCAAGAAAACAGATGTTATTAAGGAAGATTCAGAAATGAGTGCAAGGAAAGCTTGGTGTGAGATACTCACTAAGTGCCAACCACTCGCTTTGTGTTTCCTTCAATTTGGTCCACTCCAAAGATTTTAGCTATACCAAAATCTGATAT